TCTTCCATGTTTCCAGTTCTTTTTTAATTACATTATGTAATCTCAACTCTTCCTCTGAAAAAAGAGAATTACTAAGGAATCAGAGGGATAAACATTTTGCTAGAATTGGAAGTGAATCACTTTTTAGCAATATTTTAAATGTGGACTGAACTTCTGCATTATGTTCACTCCAGAGTAAAAACTAAATGTAAATGAGGAAAAACAAATGGGATGAAGTGCTTCCTCCTACTATAGGCTACAAAGAGGTGGGCATTGTGAAACAAGCAAACTTGCGGAATGCAAAATCTGGCCAGAAACAGGAAATGCAGAATGTTAACATCTCCGTGGAAAAAGAAAGACAACGTGTTGAATGAATATACGACCCAAATTCAAATTCACGGAACCTGAGTCTGTGAATACTCTAAAATCTGCTCCCATGCACAGGGCACTAAACCTGTCTAAGCTCCAGTTTCTCCATCTATCAGATAAGGGTAATGATAACCTGCATCAGTTATGGAACACATGTAACAGAAAACCCAGACAACAGATGCTTAAATAAGAAGGAGGTTTGTGCGCCCTATGAAAAGAACAGACTGGCAGTCCAGGGCTGGGATCATGGCCTCCTCCGGCCCCGGGTTCCTTCACACTCAGAGCCAGTCATGGGGCTATGACCTGTGGACCCAATGCTAGGGTAATTCTCTGCTATTGGCATTTTTAGAGTATTAATAATTGAGAACTGCAGTCCTGCATGTCCACTTTGCACTGGGCCCTGCAAATTATGTAGCCAGTCTAGTTCACAACTTCAAGCTTTCTAGTCTACCATCCTTTCTGGGAACATGATCCTCTTCCCCTAACCTTTCCTTCCAGATCCTAAGCGGGAACTTTCTGCTCAATAACCTCTACCTCCATCCCAGAGGCCAGAACTTAGTACGTGGCTTCTCTTTTTTTTTTTTTTTTTTTGAGTCTCCCTCTGTCGCCCAAGCTGGAGTGCGGTGGCATGATCTCGGCTCACTGCAACCTCTGCCTCCCGGACTCAAGCAATTCTCCTGCCTCAGCTTCCCAAGTAGTTGGGAGTACAGGTGCATGCCGCCACACCCAGCTAATTTTTTGTATTTTAGTAGAGACGGGGTTTCACTGTGTTGCCCAGGCTGGTCATGAACTCCTGAGCTCAGGCAATCCGCCCACCTTAGTCTCCCAAAGAGCTAGGATTACAGGCATGAGCCACTGCGCCTGGCCAGTACATGGCTACTCTTACCAGCAGAGGAACCTAAGGATACAGTTTTTATAGCCAATTGCCTCTCCCAGCAAAATCAGTAAGAAACTAGAAGCAGATGGATACTGTGGAAGGCCTTGACACAAAAGTCAAATAAAAGAGATCGTCGGTACAATGAAACACATCCAAATTTAGTTGCTCTAATGATTAAAAAGGCAGGATAAAGTAGATTATCTACTTAATATAATGAGACCATTGAAAATGTTCCATATAATTAGGAATAATAAAAAGATAAGGCAGATAATCTCAAGAGTATTTCAATTATTTGTATGCTCACTGTGAGAATTTTATAATTATACAACAGTTTTAAGTAAAATAAATTAGTAACAAATATTAACTGCCCTCCTACAATATAAAAATATTATATTTGTATAAGGAGTTAACAATCTAGTAGAGAATAAGACACCTTTGACAGCAAAGGTAGATTCCAAGTGAGTGATAATAACACAAAATACGTAGTAGAAATGAATGAGTGCTGCGTGGTCTCATTACTTTAGGATATACTTCCCATTTAAAGGAACCTTAAAGATTTCAAACAAGTGTAAGTACAACGTTCAGAACAATTGTGGAAGGTTCCAGCTGGATATTCACTTACAAGATCTGGCAATATCTTTGAGAAGTAAATAGTTAGATGTCATTTTTCCATCTTTGCTGAAAAGGGCATTTCCTATCCAACATTTGTTTTGAAAAAGACAAAGCAGTAGATAAGGTAACTGCTGCTATACGGGCTGTTCATCTTTCCAAACAACACGTATCTTGTTAGTTTCCTAAGCAAGGATTTTCAATGGCTTCTTAACACTGTTTTTATTGAGTCTAAAGTCCTCTGCCTACCATCTATCATTCAAGACCCTTCTTAATTTAGGCCCACCCTAAGTAAGCAAATTTACTAATTTTCTTAACTCTCTAGTGGCTTTCTACCATAAATCACAATTATGACAACAGCTAATTATATATATTAACACTAAGAATCTGAGATATAGCTACAGTGGTGTTCAGATGAAAATTCACATCCTCATATGATTATATTAATAAACAAAAGTAAAAATGAATGAATTCAGCATACCACTCATGGAGTTAGGAAAGGAAATAATAAAGTTGAAATTAATAATTTAGAAAACAGAAAAAGAATAAAACTGATAAATACAACCAAAGCTGACTCTCTGAAAAAATAAATAAAACAAATTCCTGCTTAATCTAAGCAAGGAAAAGGGAGAAATTAAAAACATACAACATGAGAAATGCTAATGGGACAATAACTACAGAAAATTAGAAGAAACAAAAGACAACTTCACAAATATATTTGAATATTCTATGCAAATATATTTGAAGTACTATATATTATAACATATAATATTATATTATACATTATATTAATAGGTATTATATATTATACTAATATATTTGAATATGCTATGCAACTATATTTGAAATATGAATGAGATTATCATTTTTCTAGGAAGATATCATTTACCAACCTGATGACAAAAAAGAGAAAAATCTTAAGCAGATTTATTTCATAGATGAAACAAAGAAACTAGCCAACCACTCTCCCTAATTCCCTAAGTCCAGTCGGTTTCACAGGGATTTCTCCCAAATATTTAAAAAACAGATCATTCCAGTGCCATTTAAACTACCTAGACTATGAAAAAGAAAAAAAAATTTTAAATTATTTTGATAAAGCAACTATAGCACTGCTACCAAAACCCAGTAACAATTTCATATACACATAAAGGAAAATTACAGATCAGTCTTACAAATGTTGATGTAAAAATTATAAATTATCCAACAGAATATATGATGACCAAGTGACATTTATTCCCAAATGCAAATATGACTTGATGGAGGAATTATTAATATATCATACTAATAAGTTAAAGGGAAAGTAATATGACTAGATTTATAGATAGTAAGACAAGCCCTATCAAAATTTAATCTCCATTATGAGGTTTTTATTTATTTATTATGTTTTTAAAAATAATACAGATAGGGTTCCACTATGTTGACCAGGCTGGTCTTGAACTCCTGGCCTCACGTGATCCTCCCATCTCAGCCTCCCAAAGTGCTGAGATTGCAGGTGTGAGCCACTGCACCTGGGCTTTTGAGGTCTTTTAAAAAAATATATTTAATAAAACAGAAATGAATGAACATAATTTTTTTAAAAAAATATGTCTATCTCAGACCAAAAGGCAATATCAGACTTAATAAGGAAACACTAGAAGTTCCCTTGAAGTCAGAAAAAAGTCTGATTGGCACTATATCCTTTTATTATCTAACACACTCTGGTGGTACTATCTAAAGCTACCAGACAAGAGAAAGAAATCGGAGAAACAAAAATTGTTAGAGAGGAGGCAAGGCTATGACTATTTACAAATTATATAATTGGATATCTGGAAAATTCATGAGAACCAACTAAAAACAAAAATTACTAGAAATAAAACACATTCAGCAATCAAGGTATAAAATAAATACACGGAAATCACAAGCCTCTGTGCATACTAACAGCCAGAAAATATAACGGAAGAAAAGGTCCCAAGTACGTTCACAACAAATAGATAGAAATACAGTTAGCAAAACCAGTCTTTAATAAGATAGGAATCAATGAACACAATTTTCTAAAATATGTCTGTCTCAGACCAAAAGACAGTATCAGACTTAATAAGGAAACAAAATGTTCCTGCAGGACAAAGAAGTAGAGTTGAATAAACAGAACCACTTATTATCTCTTTGGAGAGTAACATAAAAATCATAAAATATGTCAAGTTGTCCTAAGTTAATTTTTAAATTTAAGGTGATCTTTATTTAAAAAAAAAAAAGGAAGCATTTTTTTATTTTTTATTTTTTTGGTTGTTTTTGTTGCTCACTAGAACTAAAGAAAACTGAATCCACAAATCATATTAAAAAAGCAGTAAGCCCTAATACGACAGAAGACTCTAGAAAAGAGGAGCAATGATGGAAAACTAGAAACCAGCCCTTCTAGATTTTAAGCGACACTCAACACTTTTGGGAACTGGAGCTTGAACAGATCTACTGAACAGAACAGAGGCAAATGCATACAGGACTTTGGTATGCAAAGCTGGCATTTCAAATCAGTGGGGACTATAAAGACGATTCAATAAATGGTGTTGGTATAAATGAGTGGCCATTTGGGGAGGAAAAAAAAGAAACATTGGGACCATATCAATTTATGCTAGGGGAAATTCTGGATAGGTGGAAGGTTAAATGTGGGAAGTGAACGAATCAAAGTTCTAAGAGAAATGAGGAAAAAATCATTTATAATATCAGAGTGGGAAAGCCTTGAGAACATGACTTAAAATCCAGAAGACATGAAAGAAAATAATGACAAGTTAAAAACATAAAAATCAAAAACATCTGCATGAGTGAAACACCATAAACAAAGTCAAAAGACAAAGGACAAACTTGGGAAAATATTTGCATCTCATCTAACAGAAACAGAGCTAATTTGGTTTTATTTATTTTAATAGCTTTAGGGGTACAGGTGGGTTTTGGTTACATGGATGAATTGTACAGTGGTTAAATCTGGGATTTTAGTGGACCCATCGTCACCCCAAGTAGTGTACATTGTACCCAATAGGTACTTTTTCATCCCTTACCTCCCTCCTAACCTCCCCCATTCTGAGTCTCCAATGTCCACAGTACCACTCTGCATGCCTTTTTGAACCCATAGTTTAGCTCCCACTTATCAGTGAGAACATGCAGTATTTGGCTTTCTGTTCCTGCATTAATTCACTTAGGATAATGGCCTCTAGCTCCATCCATGTTTTGGCAAAGGACACAATTTCATTCTTGGGGCTAACTTTTAAAGTTCCTGTAAAAAGATAAAGGAAAGGACAAAACTCAGTAACAAATGTGCAAGGGATATGAACAGCCAATACATAGAAAAAGAAAAGCAAATGGAACTGGGCATGGTGGCTCATGCCTGTCGTCCCAGCACTTTAGAAGGCTGAGGTGGGCAGATAGCTTGAGCCCAGAAGTTAAGAGACCAGCCTGAGCAACATAGTGAGACCCCCTCTCTATTTTAAAATATGTTTAAAAAAAAAAAAAAAAAAAAAAAAAGCAAATGGTTCTTTAACTTTTGAAAAGATACACTCATTTTTTTAAAAAAACTAAACTACACGAAGACACTTTCTCCCATGAGATAAGCAAAAATCTAAAAGTTTAATAATACACTATGCTGATGTGTACATCTGTTATGTGTAACAGGTGTATAACTAAATGTGTACATCTAAATGTAGATATACACCTGTGTACATGTTATTAAATGTACTGCTAAATATTTTTGAACCTATTATAAATGAAATTGTTTTTCAATTCATTTTCCAGTGGTTGCTGCTAAAATATAAGAATAGAATTGGCCAGGCACAGTGGCTCATGTCTGAAATCTCATCCTTTGTGAGGCTGAGGCAGGAGGATCACTTGAGGCCAGGAGTTCAAGACCAGCTTGCTCAATAGAGTGAGACCCCCATCTTGACAAAAATAAAAAATAAGCTGGATGTGGTGGCACATGCCTGTAGCCTCAGATACTTAGGAGGCTGAGGTGGGAGGATCACTTGAGCAAGGAGTTTGAGGCTGCAGTGAGCTATAATTGTGCCACTGCACTCCAGCCTGGGTAAACAGAGCAAGACCCTGTCTGTAAAATTTTAAAAAGAAAACAGAATTGATTTTTGTATTTTAATTTTATATACTTTGACATATTTACTTATTACTTGATGTCGTTTGGCTCTGTGTCCCCACCCAAATCTCATGTTGAATTGTGACCCTGAGTGTTGGAGGTGGGGCCTGGAGGGAGGTGATTGGATCGTGGGGGTGGTTTCTAATGGTTTAGTACCATCTCCCTACTGCTGTCTTATGATGGAATTCTCATGAGATCTGCTTGTTTAAAAGTGTGTAGCACTTCCCCTTTCACTCTCTCTTACCTGCCATCATGTAAAGATGTGCTGGCTTCCCCTTCACCGTCTGCCATGATTGTAAGTTTTCTGAGGCCTCCCCAGCCATGTCTTCTGTACAGCCTGCAGAACTGTGAGTCAATTAAACCTCTTTTCTTCATAGATTGCCCAGTCTCAGATAGTTCTTTATAGCAGTATGAGAATGGACTAATACAGGAAATTGGTATCAGAGAAGTGGGGCATTGCTACAAAAGATACCTGAAACTGTGGAAGCAGCTTTGGATGGGTAGAGGTTGGAACAGTTTGGAAGGCTCAGAAGAAGACAGGAAGATAAGGGAAAGTTTGGAACTTCCTAGAGACTTGTTGAATGACTTTTACCAAAATACTGATAGTGAGATACAGACAATGAAGTCCAGGCTAAGGAGGTCTTAGATGGAGATGAGGAACTTACTGGAAACTGGAGTAAAGGTCATTCTTGCTATGCTTCAGCAAAAAGACTGCTGGTATTGTGCCCCTGCTCTAGGGATCTGTGAAATTTGAACTTGAGAGAGATTAAAGTATCTGGTGGAAGAAATTTCAAAGCAGCTAACCATTCAAGAAGTGACCTGGCTGCTTCTAACAGCATATGCTCATATGCGTTCGCAAAAAAGGTGGTCTAATATTGAAACTTACATTTAAAAGGGAAGCAGAGTATAAAAGCTTGGAAAATTTTCAGCCTGCCATGTAGTAGAAAAGAAAAACCTATTTTCTGGGAAGTAATTCAAGCCAGCTGCAGAAATTTACATAAGTAAAAAGGAGCAAAATGTTAATAGCCAAGACAATGGGGAAAATGCCTCTAAGACATTTCAGAGACCTTCATAGCAGCCCCTCCTATTACAGGCCCAGAGGCCTAGGAGGGAGAAAAGGTTCTGTGGGCCAGGCCCAGGGCCTTACTATTCTGTGCAGCCTTGGGACATGGTGCCCTGAATCCCAGCCACTCCAGTTTCAGTCATGGCTAAAAGGGGCCACAGTACAGCTTGGGCCATTGCTTCAGACGGTGTAAGCTCCAAGTCTTGATGGCTTCCCTGTAGTATTGGGCCTGTGGGTAAGCAAAGGGCAAGAGTTGAAACTTGGGAGCCTCTGCCTAGATTTCGGAGGATGTATGGAAACACCTGGATGTCTGGAAACACCTGGATGTCCAGGCAGAAGTCTGCTGCAGGACTGGATCCCCCATGGAGAACCTCTACAAGGGCAGTGTGAAGGTAAAATGTGAGATTGGAGCTCCCACCAAGTTCCCACTGGGGCACTGCCTAATGGAGCTGTGAGAAGACAGTCATCATCCTCCAGACTCCAAGATGAGAGATCCACTGACAGCATGCACTGCGCACCTGAAAAAGCTGCAGGCACTCAATCCCAGCCCGTGAAAGCAGCTGTGGGGCTTGTATCCTGCAAAGCCACAGAGGCAGAGCTGCCCAAGGCCTTGGGAGCCCACCCCTTGCATCAGTGTGCCTTGGATGTGAGACATGGAATCAAAGGAGAGTATTTTGGAGCTTGGAGATTTAATGACTGTCTTCCTGGGTTTTGCTTGCAAGAGGCCTGTAGCCCCTTTGTTTTGGCCAATTTCTCCCTTTTGGAATGGGAGCATTTACTCAATGCCTGTACCCGCATTGTATCTTGGAAGTAACTAACTTGTTTCTTTATTTTACAGGCTCATAGGTAAAGGGTACTTGCCTTGTCTCAGATGAGACTTTGGACTGGGACTTTTGAGTTAATTCTGGAATGAGTTAAGAATTTGGAGGATTGTTGGGAAGGCATAACTGTTTTTGAAACATGAAAAGGACATGACATTTGGTAGAGGCCAGGCACAAAATGATATGGTTCGGTTCTGCGTCCTTACCCAAATCTCATGTTGAATTGTGATACTGAGTGTTGGAGGGGGGGCTGGTGAGAGGTGATTGAATCATAAGGGTGGTTTCTAATGGTTTAGCACCATCCTTCTAGTGCCATCTTGTGATGGAATTCTCATGAGATCTGCTTCTTTTAAAAGTGGGTAGCACCTCGCCCTTCATTCTCTCTCTTACCTGCCACCATGTGAAGATGTGCTGGCATCCCTGTCACCTTCTGCCATGATTATAAGTTTCCTGAAGCCTCCCCAGCCATACCTCTTGTACAGCCTGTGGAACTGTGAGAAAATTAAGACTTTTCTTCAAAGATGACCCAGTTTCAGGTAGTTCTTTATAGCAGTGTGAGAATGGAATAATACGCTACTTCTAATTATTTTGTAGATCCTTAGGATGTCCAAAACAGTCATATGTAAACAATCATATTGCCTGCAAATAAGGACGATTTTGCTTCCTTCTTTCCAATCTTTATTATTTTATCATTCTTTATTGCAGTGGCTAGAAGCTCCAATTCAATATTGAGTAGAAGTGGTAAAAAAAAAAAAAAAATGAGCACATTTGCCTTTTTTCTGATTTTGGTAGAATATCATTTAATATTTCACCATTAAGTATAATGCTTGCTGTAGGTTTTTCATAAATATTCTTTATGAAGTTGAAGAAGTCCTTTATAGTCTCAGTTTGGTGAGAAATTTTCTTATAAACGGATATCAAATTTTGTCATATTTTTTATCTACATGTGAAAATGAACAGATAGTTTTTTCTCCTTTATTCTGTTAATATGGTGAGTTATATTGATTTTCAATATATTGTTAAACAAACCTTGAATTCCTGGGATAAAACTAATTGGTTATGCTGTATTATTTTATTATTTGCTTCATGTTTGTCTCCTCTGCTGTTAGTCCCTCTTGTTCTCCCTTTCCTATATTCTTTTGGATTAAGTGAATATTTTTATAATTTCATTTTAACTTACCTATTGGTCTTTTAGTCTTTTACATGATTTCTTAGAAGCTCCTCTAGAGACTACAATATAATCCCTTAACTTCTCAGTCTACTCGCAATTTTATTGGTCCATTTACCCTCCCCAGCCATACCACCAACACTGCCACCATCTTTTATGCCATAGCTGCCATATAATCTATCTATATGTGATATAAACCTTAAGTCAATATTATAATATGTCCTTTATACAGTTGTGCATATATGAAAAAATTGAGAGGAAAATTGGTCTTTGATGTTTACCCCAATATTTATAATTTTCTATGCTTTTCATTCCTTTTCTCATATTCTGTACAACTTTCTTTAGCTTCTGGAAGTGCAGGTCTTCTGGTGATGAAATCTCAGTTTTCTGATATCTGAAGATGTCTTCATTTTGCTTTCATTCTTGAAGGATATTTTTGCTAAACAGAGATTTCTAAGCTGACAGTTTTTTCTTTAAGCACTTCAACAATTTCATTCCACTGTCCCTGACTTCTATAATTTCTGCTGAGAAGTCCACAACCATTGAAATCATTATTCTCCTATATATAATGTGTCATTTTTATTTACTGCTTTTAAGATTCCCCTTTGTTTTTTGTTTGTTTGTTTGTTTTCAGTAGTTTGACTATGATGTGTCTAGTTTGTTTTTCTTTGTATTTATCCTGTTTGGGATTCACAAAGCTTATCCAATCACAAAATGTAAACATCTTATTAAATTTAGGATGTTTTCAGCCACTATTTTTTCAAATGTTTGCCATCTCATTCTTTTTCTCCTCTCTTCCTGATACTTTAACTATCCATAATGTCAGCTTTTTTAATATTGTGCCACACATTCCTGAAGTTCTCTACGTTTCTCACTCCCTTTTCTCCTTCTCCTCCTCCTCCTCCTCCTTCTTTAGATGGGACAATTTCTATTGCTCTATCTTCAAATAGAGGCATTTAGATATGTGCAGAAACTGGTCAGCTTCCAAAAATGCAAATACAGCCCAAATAAATGTTAAGAACAATATATGAAAGTCTTAAGAAACCAGAAACATGTCAAGCAGGGAGACCTTCACTGTTAGGTGATAGGGCAACCATCTGGTCATTTCATTCATGATCCCAGTTATTTTCATCTGTAGCAAAAAGTTACAGGATTTTCATTGTTACTGGAAATGAGAAAAAGTATATCTACACTATATATGTATATATTTATATCTGTGATTTCTGGCAAATGTATAGGTGGTATTACACTTGAATTACATCCATATAGTTCCTAAGAATAATTTTATATGCCAAGAGTTAAGATGCCTAAATTCTTTAAAAAGAACAGCAAATATCCACAGGCCTCAGAGTACATTGAGATGCATACAATCTAAATGTATTCCAGGCCGGGCGCGGTGGCTCAAGCCTGTAATCCCAGCACTTTGGGAGGCTGAGGCGGGTGGATCACGAGGTCAGAAGATCGAGACCATCCTGGCTAACATGGTGAAACCCCGTCTCCACTAAAAATACAAAAAACTAGCCGGGCGAGGTGACGGGCGCCTGTAGTCCCAGCTACTCGGAGGCTGAGGCGGGAGAATGGCGTGAACCCGGGAGGTGGAGCTTGCAGTGAGCCGAGATCGCGCCACTGCACTCCAGCCTGGGCGACACAGCGAGACTCCGTCTCAAAAAAAAAAAAAAAAAATGTATTCCTTTCAGGATTTTGATTATAAAAAATTTCAGTAACTCCCTCAAAGATAGAGATTATTTATTCAACAAACATTATGGCAGATTCAAGTATCAAAACAATCTGTAAATTTGGGCATGTAGACCCAAAAAAGATCCTCTCTCAAACTGCTAACCTGGTGTTGCTAAATGAAGCAGTTCTTGCCTAAGAATTTTCACAGGTGTTCATTTGCATCCATGAAATTCCTCTCATTACATCAGTTTTTAAACAGGTTGTTTGCATCAAGTTTCAAGAGTAATTTGTGAACATTGGTGTCTGACTATCTATCCCCATAGCAGAGATAGTAACTTCTGAAAATTTCCAGTTACTCCTAGAGATTAAAGATTTGGAAAATAAAACGGTAAAATTTAAATTGTAATCTACTGGTCTAAGCCTATATTTTCAAATGGCCAGGCTTATAAACCATCTTCTTACTTAATATCCTTGCCTCAGCTGTCTTCCTCACACATTTTTTTTAAACAGTCTCAATCTGGCATCTACTGCAGCCTCAACCTCCCAGGCTCAGGTAATTCTCCAACCTCAGCCTACCGAGTAGCTGGGACTACAGGGGTACGCCACCATGCCCGGCTACTTTTTTTGTATTTTTTGTACAGACAGGGTTTTGCCATGTTGCTTAGGCTGGTCTTGAACTCCTGGGCCCAAAGTCCCATGCAGTTTGAACAGTATATACAATTGGAAGCCTCACATTCCAAACCCCACCTTCAACATGTTTCCCAAAATTTTCAAATCCCACCCTTTCACCTGGTCTTTCAGACCTTCTCCTAGAGCAGCAGTACCCTGTACCTGGTCCGTGGCCCAGGCATCGGGGACTCCTGCCCTAGGGTACATCTATTTGTTCTTGGAGTCACTGCCACAGCCACTGTCATTATTCCCCAATGTGGCCCCTCACAGGCTTGTGCGGATGCATGCAAGCCAGCCCTCCCTCACTGATCCCGCATGCTGTTACCCTGGAGCAGCTCCCACACATGTGCAAAGCTGATGTACACCTGGGCCTTCGTTCATTCCAGTTCCCTACCTAGAATGTCTACGCAGTCCTCACACCCTGCCACCAGACCTTCGCAGCCATGCAGACACCTCATCTTCAGAATTACCTGACACCTAAAGCACTCACAGACCCCACGTCTCTCCCTTTCTCTTTTGTACCCCACATTTTAGTATCTTCCATTTTTTCCTGTTTCTCTCCTCCCAGTAGACTATAACCTCTTTAAGGGTAAGAAATAGGTCTCCTTTCTCTTCGTATTCTCCAGTACTAAAAACGCTTCCTGGCACATGTTAACCATTTACTACATGTTTGTTGAATTAATGAAAGAATAAAGAAATAAATGTACTTATACTCTTTAATTCAACCAAGAAAATATAACAGTGGTCCCCTACATGTAATTTATCCCTTACAGTTCAACTTTATATAAAACTTTCTCCAAACTAGAATCACTCAACTTCTTTCCACCACTTCCTTCAAAATTCACCAACTTCAAAGGCTCCATAATTTAACCCCTCCCCTTTGATCCTTCTCTTCTGCCATCTTCCAGATTCCACATTCCTCAGGAGCAGGCTTAAGGCCTTATCTTTCTCGTATTTTAAGTGTTTGCTTAGTTCCTTTTTGTGCACGTACTATAACTAGATGGGAAAAAGTTTTTTGGTTGTTTTCTTGTTTTTAATTTATCATGCAATTTTCACAACTTCACAAGATGAATATTAATACCCAAGATTTAATAGATGAGAAGACTAAGTAACTTGCCCAAGGTCACACAACTAATGAACGATGGAGTTAACATTTTAACATAAGGCTACTGTATTCTGAAGACACGCTCTTTTTTTCCATCCCAGCATAGGGGAAAGGGGACAATTATTCTAGGCTGGATACTTACTTTATGTTCTTTCTGTAATAGATCTGTTATATTTTACAACAGGAAATATTTTTGAAACCACAGAATAGGTTCAGCAAAATAAGTGAAGCTTATCTTTGATCAGAGATAAAGGCAAAGAAACCCCGGCTTCAAATTAAAACCCCATATATGCAAATATCATTTTATGAGCCAGGACTATCTTTTCCTGAGTTTTTTAACTTTAAAGCACCAAAGCACAGTGGCTACAGAAGGAAGGTAGTCACGGAGTTGCACCACGGAATGAAATCGTATTATCACAGGCCTTAATACAACAGGCCAAATTCATTTCGAAAAAATGTACTCAAGTCTTAGACCCTGTGAAAAAACAACTCTTATTTTCAAGAACAGAAACAGCTAGGGGTTTTTTATATCTTCTTACAAGAAATTTCCATCCATTGGCTTTAAATTTTACTTTTCATTCAAAAGCACAGCATGTTTTTATATTGAAAACTTCCTAGGAAAAGGAGAGCCATTTTCTCATACTCTGAATCACGGTTTTGCTCTGACTAGGTAAACAGCATGCACCCTCAAACTCTTGCTAGAGAGAGTCACTGAAACCTTTTAGGTTAAAAGGAAATGATTGGTAAATAGCTTTTCTGAATCTGAGTTCTTCTGTAGGAAATGGAAAAACAGAGAACTTACAATTCTAACTAGTAGCATCAGACTCAAATAACAACTTTGTGGGGAAACAAGGATCGATTTGAAAGCTAGGCTCCTTCAGGTCAGACTCAGATTTTGAGGGGCCCTGTGTTTTTATAATTTTGGAGGCTCTCTACAAGAAAAAGAAGGCAAACTTACAAATGCAAATTTAATCATAAACACAAATATGTATCTAGAATAAAAAACATAAAGCATAAATTTAATAAGGCTGACAAATACGGCAAACAAAATTTTTCACCAAAATATGAAATAACATTTTTACTAACTGTCTGGGACATTTCGGTAGTGTTTCCTTTCCTATCTTTTTTAGTTGCATGCTCTTTTAAAAGACTTTTTTCCTAAAAAATAAAGATTTAAAATTATTTTCTCTATTGAGAATAAAAGTTTTTCCTTTAATTTGGCTAAAATTTGGAGTTCTTTCCAACATTAATAGCTTAGAATAATTTATTTCAGCTTCTCAACTCATTATTGTAATGTCATGTAAATTTTTAGAATTATTGTCAAATTTGGAGAAATCTCTGTCAAGTGTTTTTCATACAGGAGCTATAAAATCTGGAAAAATATCTGCAGACTGCTGGTTTTATATATTTCAAATGTTCCTCTACTACCTACATACTGCCAATATTAGGCTCTGCAAAAAGTGTTCTTCTCATAGTACATGTCACAAGCCTGGTGAGTAGGCACCGTGGCCAGTAGGACTATCTTTGAAAGCCCCTCCTACCCCAGGATAGTTACGAAAAACTTACCTACTCAAGGAAGTGACTGCAAAGCACATAAGTAAATCTCATTGCTATGGCCTGGATGTTTGGGTTCCCTCAAGATTCCTAGGTTGAAATCCTAACCCCTAAGGTGATGGTATTAAGAGGTAGGGCATTTGGGGGGAAGATGAGGTCATGAGGCTGGGGCCCTCATGAGTGGGATTAGTGCCCTATGGAAGAGGCCTGAGAAAAACCCCTCACCTCTTCCACCACATGAGGACATAGAGAGAGAGTGCTATCTGTAACCAGGAAAGGGGCCCTCATCAGACACCAAATCTGCTGGTGCTATGATCTTGGACTTCCCAGCCTCCAGAACTGTGAGAAATAAATTTCTGTTGTTATAAGCCACCCAGTTTATGGGATTTTGCTATAGCAGCCAAAATGGACTAAGACATTCACTGAAATCAAACTAAATATATCCATAAGTCAGCTTTCCCTTAGCCTAGTCCTAAAATCCCCATGACCACTCCAGGGCCATTCAACAAGGTAAGTTAGCATGAAAAGAGACATGATTGTGGTTGAAATATTTTTCACAGACAGGCATGGTGGCTCATGCCTGTAACCCTAGCAGTTCAGGAGGCCAAGGTAGGAGGATTACTTGAGCCCAGGAGTTTGAGGCCAGCCTGGGCAACATAAGGGAGACTTTGTCTCTACAAAATAAATAATAAATAAATAAATCAGCCAGGCATGGTGGTGTGCTCCTGTGGCCCCAGATACTCAGGAGGCTGAGGTGGGAGGATTGCATGAGCCCAGGGAGTTTAAAGCTGCAGTGAACTATGATCACACCACTGTACTCAAGCCTGGGCGACAGAGCAAGACTCTGTCTCTGTGTCTCTCTCTCTCTATCTCTCTCCCTCTCTCTCTCTCTCATATAGATGGATAGATAATATATATAAAAAACACTCTATATCTATATATATTATCTATATATAGGTGATATACAATCTCTATGTTATAGATATATATCTATATATAGATATCTTAAATATATATATCTTAAAGTACTGACATCTTCCACCACCACTCGTAATCACAGCCACAGGCCGTAAACCACACTGGAGAATGGAAGCGAAGTGCAGCTCACCAGGCCCCAGTGCCAGACACTGGATTCCGGGGTTCCACGTGTGTCTGCAGAGATGCATTTGTTTCTCTCAACACTAAGGAAGACTCCCCCACTACACACTGGGAACCGGACTCAGAGCTACTCCCCAGTGGAGTGGGACCCAGGGCAGCTGCTCTTTCCACTTTCCATAGTGGCTTTTCCAGTGTTCTTTTCCTTACCATAAGAGGGGTGACACATATTCATTAAACATTTTCAGTAGATGGGATTTTTTAAATTACCTGTAGTCACATTACCTAGACACAACCATGGAAAGATTTTGGCATATTTTCATGTTTTATGGAACAAAGAAATTGAAAACATTAAATTAAACCAAATCTATTTCTCTCATTATTAAAGAAATATACATTCCCTGTCAAAAATATGAAAAGAATTTAAAAAATATTTAAAATCATCTGTATTTCTTGGCGAGGGCTGTTGTAACAAAGTGCCACAGACTGCATAGTTTAACAACAGACATTTTTTGTCTCGCAGTTCTGAAGGCCAGAAGTGCAAGATCAAGGTGTTGGCAAGGCTGGTTGGTTCCTTCTGAGGGCTGTGAGGGAAGGGTCTGTTCTACACCTCCCCGCTAGCTTCTGGTGTTTTACTGCCAATCTTTGGCATCCCTTGGTTGACAGAACATTACCCTGACCTCTCCCTTCATCTTCACATGGTGTCCTCCCAGTGTGCAAATCTGTATCCAAATTTCCCCTTCTTTTTTTTTTTTTTT